AGACAACTATTTAAAAATTTAAAACTAAACAAATAGGACATTCAAGTGTGTCATTCGACTGGCAAATAGCGATGAAAGATAGTTTTCTAGACAACTATGACGTCAATGTTATCATCATTGACTGGAGTACAAGTGGAGCTAACAGCGGATTTTACTGGAATGCGGCTAAAAGCACCAAGGTAAGTTATAAATCTAAATTGAATTTAAATTTTAAACTTTGTTTTATATTTTTAAGCAAATCGGAATACTTGTCGCTAAACAAAATAAACTTCTTTGTCAGTACCAAAGTACAGTGGAAGATAAATTTCACCTCATTGGGCATTGTGGTAGTAAAACAAACAAAAGTAATTAAATTTTATGTAATTGATAAAAGTTAAAGATAAGGAGCTTGATCATTGGTTTTAAAGTAAGCCTTAATGTGATGCTTTCCTTGATGATTAAATTCAGCAGCTTTTGGGCCAACAAAAGGACACATTTCATCATCTTTGCCACAATAATTGCAATAATTATGTTTGTAATCATAGTAGTTTTCACATTGGTATGCCCTTTTGCTTGCTGTAATTGCATCAAGGTAAATCAAATACGCTCGACTATGCTCACATGAAATTAGCGTTGTTAAGCCATCCTGCAAACTATTAAAAAACGACGAAAATCTCTCTTTTTTACAGCCAGGTTGACTTTTACCACCATTTGGATAATAGTCAATAGTACCTAAAGGCTCTATGATCCCTAGCCCAATGTGCGGCTTAATGTCACTATGTATTACATCAACAAACTTGGCATCAGTGTACCACAGCTTCGAATCTCTTGGCTTATTTTCAAAAAAAAGTCCTGCTGGGTCTAAACCAGTTATCTAAAAGAAACAATAAAAAATATTTTAATTATAAAATTACATAAAACCAAAATTACCTGGCCGATTTTTCCGTCTAGATGTTTTCCGGTAAAACCTTAAAAATTAAAATATTAATTGAAATATTGTAAAAACAATAACACATTTTACCTAAAAGATGAGCGCCAAGCGAATGCCCAATGAGATGAAATTTATCTTCCGTTGTACCTTGGTACTGACAAAGAAGTTTAATTTGTCTAGCGACAAGTATTCCGATTTGCTTAAAAATATAAAACAAAGTTTAAAATTTAAATTCAATTTATATCAATAACTTGCCTTGGTGCTTTTAGCAGTATTCCAGTAAAGTCCGCTGTTAGCTCCACTTGTACTCCAGTCAATGATGATAACATTGACATCATAGTTGTCTAGAAAACTATCTTTCATTGCTATTTGCCAGTCAAATGATAATCTTGAAAATACTAGGCTTGACTCTTCTAATGTTTCGTTGTTTATTACTACAGATCTTTCAGATCTTTTCTTCTGGTCTTTTAAGGATGGCTTATAGCCAGAAGCAATTACTACTGTTTTTCTGTCTCCTTTAAAAGTTTTAAGATTTCTAATCTGCTCTATATTTCCCTGTCTAAATTTCTCTGGCTCTTCTTTGTTTTTTGAAGAGTACAAGG